ATAAAAAAGTTAAGCTTTTAGAATGACATTGCTGCCCATCCTTCCACTATAAGTTAAATATATATAAATATATATGTATGTTTAAATTATACATACATATATAAATCTAATTTTAATAATGTATTATTAAAATAAGATTATCCTAATGACTTGCAGAAAGGACTTAATTGAACAATAAATAATTTTCCGCATTACGTACGTAATAATTAGTGAAAATAAATTGCTGTGCCAAATGTGTAAAATTATAATAAGATATTGGAAGAAACATGGCGTCTAAATCTATTTTCAATCTACTAATATCTACTATATTAGCTAAACGGAATCTAATGAAATTTTATACACACATATCTAGATCTATCTACGTATATTACTGTTATTATTATATTTTAATATTTTTATTCTAATTTATGTGTGTGGAAAACATGGATATAGCTTACTAATATATATATATATATATATATATATATATATATATATATATATATATATATATATATATATATATACACAAATTATTCTTTAAGAATTTCAATAAAAAGTAAGTAAATAATACATACGTATAAAACCACAGATAATAGCAGTAAATAATATAAGAATAAATAGTCCAGTGTAAGAGGCCTGAGTATTTAGCGTTTCATTGTTTCTGCCTATTCTACTGGCAGACAGGCGTAACGGATATGTATGTATGTAGATCAGTCCTAAACTACATACATACATTCGAATATTCTACGCGATACTGTAGAATTGGGCAATCTATCTTAACTCCCTGATTGGTACTTAGTGGCTCTCTACGGGAATTCTCAATTTAAAGTGACAATTTAAAGCTACGCGTACTTTGAGTTCACGAATATTGATTGAAAGCTTAAATGCTTAATTGACGTAGTTTACAATGATTTACTTTGGCTTCGATTAAGATGTCGTGTGATACACATACAAAATATAAGGGAAAATAAAGACGAATCGAGAATCTTCCTCTTGTTACTATTCATTTCACCAGACGGAAACTTTGTACAAAAGTCGATTGCTTGGGTACCTCTGTCCTATTCGTGTTTCAACCGTGAAGCAGTTGTGTTTGCATGGCTGTGTTTCGGTTTGAAGGGTGGGATATGGCGTGAATTTACAGGGTACAGAGGAATAATAATTGAGTTCTCAGGAATGGCAACGCATGGGGGGTATCATGGGCGAAACAGTATACTCTGTTATGTCCATGGTACTGTTCATGTCTATAGGCGACGGTTACCACTTTCCATCAGGTGGACCGTCAGCTTGTTTGCCAATCTAAGTTGTATAAAAAAAATCATTTTACTAGTCATGCTTTTCTATATTCATATATACAAGTATTCTCGATTATTAAGATTAAATATTCATATTGCATGTGAATATCATTAAAAGAGAAATTTATATTTAAATCGGTTTTTTTGATAATACTGATATTAAAATTGCATTGCTCTTTAATAATTTATTTTTAAATTGTGATCGTTTATTCAGTATTAATTTTATTTAAAATATTATATATTTTTCATGTTTCAATTCAAATGTTCTTCGTTTAAATAGATATTCACACCATACCATTTCAGACGTTAATAGTTCGCTGCTAAACAGCATGGGTTTTTTTAATGGATGATAATGAAATGGCAACCCCGCCTGCGCTATCGATATACACTGGCGGGGCACCAGTGAAGGATGATAGGTGAGGATGAAGCAATCCAGTTAGCCCACTGTGAAGAATCTAACAATAAATCAATCACGATAGTTTCCAGGGGGAACTACGAGGAGGTCGACCTGACTATTATTGTTAGCAATGGGGCTACTACTTACTATTTTGGCAATAGATGAACTGTAAACTAGTGTAATATTTCGTATATGTAATAGTAGTAAGTAATTATAAAAGATTGAGTCCTAAAATAACCCTAATTCTGTTCTGACAAAACTAGTTATTTTTGTTTAAAAATTAAATTACTGAATTGATTTTGATAAAGTTTCTATAGAACCAATTCGTAAGTATATCTTTTCAGAAAAAAAAATCCAAATTAGTTTACAACTGACGAAGTTATGAGGCAACAAATATAATAAAAAATACAACCGAATTGAGAAGGCATTTCTTTTTAATGTTAGTCGAAATTTTTAGATAAGACTCTCAATTCGATTCAGAAATTGAAATATTACACAAAGAATTAAATCCTTTGAAGAGATTTAGTGTTTTTAATACATTTTTTTCCAATAGTAAGCACCTTTTATTTCAAAATCCGTTAAGCGTTTTGAGCGAAAAAAGCAACAGAAAGCTTACTAAATGTATAAATGAATCAATCAATCTTTAGAGTTTTTATGAAAGGACATCTCTACTAATATTATAAACAGGGAAGACTTCTCTATTTGTACGGAGAAAACAAACTTTGTTTTATACTATATAGAATTACTATGTATTCAGAACATTGGATATAGCGGTCACAGAGGTAGTGACAGATCATTAGACAACGCTCGACTGCCGGCTCGAGGTGCCAAGATCGAATCTCAGCCTTTGAATATCACAAATTCATGTTTCAAGGCACGTAAGGCATCGTCCGGTAAGCCACGTCAGAGATCTTTATTTGATACGAAGGCATCCTAGAAACTTAAAATCCTTAGAAAAAAATTTACTCTCACTGTTAAGTTGCTATGTATATGTCACTTTTTAATACATTTTTTACAATTACATAATTTATCTTTCTTTATTTTTTCTTTCATTATTTCTTGCTTTTTTCTTCTTTCTTTCTTCCTTTCTTTCTTTAGTAACACATATTGTTACATTACTTATTTTATTTTCAAAATTGTTTAGTTTACCTTTATATCTATCTATTATATCCTCTATCGATTTTGTATCTAGACCATTACGTTTTTTAATTCAAATATTTCTATCTAATTTGTTACAAACATTTTACTAAACTAACAGTTACCTTACGGAAGTCCATATCACTATTAGAATTATTTTGTTTAATTCCGCTACCATAAGTACGTGAGCGACTGTGAATACTCGAAGACTATCTTGTTAAATTTTCGCAGTTTGTATGCCGAACGGTTAACACTATTAATCTGCCCTAAGATGGTTTATTTAGAGGTGAAATATGTGTCGCAAAATGTGTGTAAACGAAATTGCAGTGTTAGATTGATGGCTAATATGGAAGGTTGTGAAACATCTGGTAGTAATAGTGATGGTCAATCTTCGAGTGTTGGCAGTCACATACATATTAATGGTAGCGGAATTAAACAAAATAATTCTAATCGAACAGCCAGTTATAAACATTCTCGTGATTGATTAAACCCTAAGGTATTATAAAATAACAATCAAACTCCTGAGAGTTCACAGATCTATAATATTAGTAAAGATTATTATAAATACGAAAGTGAGTTTGCTTGTTTGTAACTTTTTTTTGTTTGTAAGTTTAAGCTAACGGCCCATCTGATGAAAAGTTGTAACCGTCACCTATAGACATGAGCAGTACCATGGACATAACAGAGTATACTGTTTCGTCCATGATACCCCCCATGCGTTGCCATTCCTGAGAACTCAGGTGTTATTCCTCTGTACCCTGTAAATTTACGCCATATTCCATCCTTCAAACCGATATACAGCCACACAAACACAACTGCTTCACGGTAGAAACAAGAACGGGACAGAGGTACCCAAGCAATCGACTTTTTGGCATTTTAGCGGCTTAACTAATCATTGTTAAATTTAATATACACGTACCTATTATACGGAATGGAGAAGAATATAGACTACTTTCTTTATCCCCGTTAGTTAACATATCCTGACTACGCGGACGAAGTCGGAATAGCTAGTTGTTAACTAGCTAGCTAGCTAGCTTAAATTAGGATATAAGTTAACTAGCTATAGCTAGTTCACTTATATCCTAATTTAAGATATATATTTATATCCTATATCTATCTGTGAATTAGGACAAAATTATTCTACGTATTAGCTAATTCAGGGTGTAATATATATGACGTGTGCCATATTTAATTCAAATCCGTTCAACCGTTTGACGAACACGATTGAATAACAAACATCTGGATTTATATATTTAGATATAATCAATTAGGATACGAAACGTGTAGTAACATATATTAATTTTAATCACATATTTTTATTTATTTATATTAATAAAATATATAGAAAGTGGCAAAGAGGGTTGACGTCAGGCAGGTGGCCGGTCGTAAAACTAAAAACCAAATCTTTTTATAATATGGATAAAACCATATTACGCCGACCCCAAATGATTGGGATAAGGGTAGGAAGATGATGACGATAGAAAGTGGCAGTGGAAAGGAAATATACAAAGGCGAGTTTGACTATAATTGCACAGTAGAACCGAAGAGAACTATTAAGTTCTCTTCCAGCAAACCCAAAGTGGAAAGGAGCATCAATGTCAGCGGGTATAACGATACAGTATAGTGACAAAATTATTACTGTACTGTAAGAACTAGTCTGCTCCGGTCACTGCAACTGATTTATTTTATTGATTTGTTTTAATATACTATATATTTTAATTTTTTAAGATCCAATACTGCTTAGTACATAGTTTGTATTTACAGAAATTCATTATTTATATAGTTAAACTTTTTGTAAAAGAGCAAAAGACGTGTTTTTTGTCTGTTCTTCTTGGCTGAAATTGCATTCCGAATAGGCCGTAATGAAAAAAACTATTCAAAAATGCTTAAATCTAAGTTTACTTGAATAAAAATATTTTTTCTTTTTTTCGAATGGCACTGAGCTACGAGACACCTACTCCATCAATCACTGGCTGAGTTTAGATAGTCTTAGACTGAGTTTATGTGCACAGCCAAGTTTTTCTATGTGAAATTCTAAATTTAATATTCTCTTGGAGCGACCCTCCTATCCGAACTAAATCAATCAAGATTAGAATATATGTAAGCACGTCTTTACTTCACACTCGTTAGTTGGCGCCGCTATCTCGATTGCATATTGCTCCCCATGTTGATACCTCAGTTCTACTCTAGAATCCGTGGTGAGCGCACGCATCCCTTCGACGAATTTATCCGATCACACCCCCTGAAATACAAACTTGTATCGTGTTTTTAGACTTGTGAATCAGTGTTCTGACATTGTGACATTTTGCTTAGGTTACCAAGGAAGGATTCTTTACAATAATTCGTAAGTAATTATATTAATTTTAATTATTTTAAGAGTTTTTCAAACAGGATCGTATGGGGTGGAATTTATTTTTTTTCCAGATTTTACCGATTACGAATTATAGATTGATTCATTTCATTAAATAAGAAATAATATAAACATATTCGAATAAAAAAAATGCAATCATTTTTATATTACATTTTTTTTTATTTTTATTTTTTATCTTTTAAACTATTGATTTCTTTTACTAATATTTTAAATTATGGTAAAATTTTTAACTTTATAATTATTGGTTTTAATTGATAAAGATATACATTCGTAATAAGAACACAAATATAAAGGAAACAAAAGAAAATATATATGAATAATTTTCATACACTAATCAAATGGTTGCCTACTGACTAAGATAATAATATGACTTATTATCATCGCATAATAATTAGTTGTAAAAAATATAATTATAGTTTAAAAAAAATATACACGTAAATTATAGTTACAAGACTGAAATAACCGACTTAATTACGAGTAATAATTAACTGAGAAATGGATTTAAAGGTTACATTTTAAATGTATAATCAATATAACGATATAACTGTAGAATAATAAATTGAAGGTTCATCTAAAATTATAAAAGTATTATTTTTATATCAGAAGTTTCTATTAATGAAGAAGCTTTCTAAATAATAAAGAATAGTAGAAAAACTAAATAGAATAAATAAATAGAAAGAATAACTAAAATGAATTTATTATAGAATAGTTATAAATGAATTAGAAATAATATTAACACACTAGTAAGGCAGGGGAAATGGATAGTAAGTAAAGAGGTCTAACTGCCTCACTGCCAGTTGTGGGAGAAAGGATTGTGTGCTAGTATGGAAACAGGGTATTTTTAGAACGATAATATAATTAAATAAAAAATATGCAAAGCAAACCAACGGAGCAAAAAAGCGAACCAAACAAAAACTAAACTGACACGGACTTCAAATTACAAACAAATCATCTTTTTAATTTAAACTAAAGAGGTGCGTCGTGCACACCAGTAATATCCCCTATCAGGTCGACCTCCACACAGTTCCTCCTGGAAACCATCCTGATTAATTACTGTTTAATTTGTTACAATGGAACAACTGACCTACTTCATACTCACCTGTCATCTCTCACTGGTGCCCTGACATTGTATACCGATAGGGCAGGCAGGGTCACTATTTCATTTACATTTATTAAAAAATAATACTGGTAGTGGTAGGTTGCTTATATTCTCCAAATTGACAATAAACCAGTACACTTAATTTAAGAGTAAGTTAAATTCAATCCCCATAATTCCTAAAAACGTCGCAACTCCTATAAATCTATTTCAGTTATTGAATTGTTTTGTCTCTTTCTTTTAGGTTAAATTCCAAATTTGATGGAAAGTGACAAAACAGTGTAATAGTTAAAACAGATTTGCAGAAGGTATTAGTTTTTATGAATAAAATAGAACGTATATTGGCGTTGTTGTAAATGTATGATTATTTACATTTCACTGAATATATTTGAATTCTAGACAGCATAGGACGAGTCCTGCTTCTCACTGATTGATCAAGTATGTTAATGGCGTTTATAACTGACCTAACAACCTGTCTCAGGGGGGAAAGGGATTGTTAGTAATGGAGTTTGACAGCCCCATTGCTAGCAATATGCCTTATTAGGTCGACTTCCACGTGGTTCCCATTGGAAACCATCGTGAACAATTCTTGTTGAATTCGTCAGGATGGACTAACTGACCTACTTCATCCTCACCTATCATCCTTCACTGGTGCTCCGCCAGCGTATACCGATAGCGCGGGTGGGGTTACCATTCCATTATCATATATTAAAAAAAAAAACCTGTCTCAAGTTCGACAGTTTTCTAAAATAAAATAAAGCCTATTTAACTCGCTGGTAATGTAGATATCTATAGATGAAAGAATATTTAAAGGAGTTTAATTAATTTTTGAGTTTATCCATTATAAACAGAAAATTTTACTGTGTGATCCCGGCATAGAGTAGTCCACCCCTTCCTTTCCCGTGGGTATCGTATGAGGCGACTAAAGGAAGGCAAGAGATGGATAGCAGCGTTCCTTCCTTAAAACATCACCAAAGCCTAACTGCGGTTGCCAATCCGCCTGCCAAGCGTAGCAACTACTGGTGTAGTTATGTATTTATGGAGGAAGCCTATATTCAAGAGTGAACAGTTGATATGATGATGATGATGAAGTAGATTTAGATTTTGTAGTGATATATACGAGGGAGACTTTGTACAAAAGTCGATTGCTTGGGTACCTCTGTCCCATTCGTGTTTCTACTGTGAAGCAGTTGTGTTTGCATGGCTGTGTTTCGGTTTGAAGGATGGAATATGGCCGTAAAATTACAGGGTACAGAGGAATAACACCTGAGTCCTCAGGAATGGCAAAGCATGCGAGGTATCATGGGTGAAACAATATACTCTGTTTTGTCCATGGTACTGTTCATGTCTATAGACGACGGTTACCACTTTCCATCAGGTGGGCCGTCAGCTTGTTTGCCATTCTAAGTTGTACATAAAAAAAATAATAAAAAATTATGTTTAACAAAAAAAAAAACGGATTCAGTTGTAGCAAAACCAGTTATTTAAATAATACAAAAATTTTTTCTTTGAAATCGGATTGCAAAATAACCTGCCGCTCATTTTTCGACTATTAAGTTCCCTTGTCGTTTCTTATGACAACTACGGGAAAGAAACTCTTGGCCCATTCTATGGCAAGACCACACAGCATCCCTCTCTATCCCCCTAAATCTACTTAAAAGGAAGGATAATATTGTCTAGTTGTAGTAGTACTGTAGTTTACATATTGTTAAAAAAGGATTATTTGACTATGGACATCTTTAGTCGAGAGTAATATGTATTAATAATGTTTTCAAATATCTTTATATTACGTTTCCATGGTTACAACAGTTTGGTTATACAATTTATAGATTACTTTTACCTGCGACTTCTTACCCTTAATATTCTTTCTTACCCTTAATAATCCTTCTCCATCCCATATTGTATTTGTATACCAAATTTCATACTGATTAGTTAAGCCGTGACATTAAAAGATAACAACCAAACAAACTCACTTTCACATTTTATATATTGAACAATACAGATACAGCGATTAGTTTAACTTGTTAACAAGCAAGCAATTTATAATATTTGTAAAAATAACACATACTGAATAGTTTAAATCAAAGACAAATATGTACCTTTAATATGTTCAGTTCTGAAGTTGTCCTAATTTAATCGACGGCAACCTATTAATAACTAGCTCTCTAAATGGAAATGATCGATATATCTTGCCTTTGTTAGTTTAGTAATTTGGTTATATATATACATATTTCTCTGTGTGGTTTCAACATAGAATGGGATACCCCTTCTTTTTTCGTGGCTGTTTTAACTAAGGCAACTAAATAGTCGAAGTATGGGCAGCAGCGTCCTTCTTAAAACATCTTTAAAGTAAATATATAACTGCGGTTGCCAACCTGCCTGCCAAGCAACTATTGGAAACTCCCCGTTATGGGGGGAGGCCTTTGTCCAGCAGTGGACAGTTAATGGCTGATAAAATAATAAGTTTAATCCATTATCTGCTACTACACACATGCATACAAACATTTTCACTTACTTTTATACTTTTAAATTTAGGCCTCATTTAAACAAATAACGGTAGATAACTTTTAAATTGGATTCTGTTATTTTTTGTCTGTTTTGTTTTGGTTTTAATTTATAATTAATATTATTATATTTATATTTTATTTAGTTTTTTATTTATGCCAAACTTAATTGCATAATTCTATGAACAAATTATTTATTTCCTTCTTTCTTTAGAATTGTTTTCTTTTTTTGAAATTGGAAGTTTCTGTTTGTTGCATCAAGATCAAGCATAAACCTGGTGTTCTGTTTGATTTTTAGTAACATAAATGTGAAAGCCGCCTTCAATTTGTTGTAGTAATTTTAGCGTAATATTGGAATGATAATAAAAATATAGGCAAAAATTCCAAAAAAAAAAATTGTTTTGCTTTTATCACACATATTTTTTTTTATTTGTAGTGTAACATGCATTTCCAATCATACATAGGCCACAGTGACCGGCTTATGGTCGATTGTAAATTGCTATATGTCTGCTCGCCACCTTCGAGATATAAAAAAAAAACAAAAAAAATTTGTAAACACAATTATTGCGATATTTTTTTTTAAATTATTAATTAATATTTTAATTTATTTAAGTTTTTTCTCAAAGATGGTTGACGTCAGGCAGGCGGCCGGTAGTAAAACTATAAGGCAAATCAAAAATTTGTAATATGAATAGAAAATATATTATGGCGACCCCAAATAATAATTGAAATAAGGGTAAGAAGTAAATTAATTAGTGAGAAATATCCGAAATCACATTTCGCATTACAGTAACAAAATTGAAGAAGTCCACTTAAAAAATATCAAAGAAAATTAAGGTGTCTATTATTCTATCCCCCCAGATGAGAGTTCAGGAATTTATGAGGTCCTTTTGTTACTGAACAAACAGGCTAAAAAATTAGGTCAACGTAGGCTAATGTATTCAACGGAAACATCGTACTTTGTTTTAATTATTATCCGCTCACTTTTCCTAATTAAGAATTGTTTTTGTAAAAAAAAAAAGCAAATTGTAATTAGAAAGTTTTGTTTTCCTATAGAATCTAAAGGACACGTCAATAATAACTCTTGTTTTTAATAAATTAAAAACAAGAGCATATTTATATTATATATTTAGTAAGGCATACCAATATTATATTTATTTTATACTTTATTGTACACAAAAAACTACATTGTTGTAATTTATTTTGAATATATATATATATATATATATATATATATATATATATATATATATATATATATATATATATATATATATATAATGAGGGAGACTTTGTACAAAAGTCGATTGCTTGGGTCGATACCTCTGTCCCATTTGTGTTTCTACTGTGAAGCAGTTGTGTTTGCGTGACTG